AGAGAAATGGATAAATTCATGGTGGTTAAGTCCATTAATGGCTATTAGCCAGGACGGGTAAGGAATGGTGTCCCTAGCCTCTGTCTGTCAGAGGATGGAGATGGATGGCAGGAGAGAGATCACTTGATCATTGCCGGTTAGGTTCACTCCCTCTGGGGCACCTGGCAATGGCCACTGTCGGTAGACAGGATACTGGGCTAGATGGACCTTTGGTCTGATCTGGTACGGCCTTTCTTATGTTCTTATGTTCTTATGCTGCTCGCTCTGGTGGAGTTCCGAAGTCGATGGTGAGTGCATTCGGGGATCGATATATTGTGTCTTAACCAGGGCCGGCTCTAGGATTTTTGCCACCCCAAGCAAAAAAAATTTTGCCCCCCCTTTTTTTCGTGCCCCCCTGCCCCCGGCCCTGCCCCAACTTCACCCCTTCCAAACCCCTTCCTCAAATTCCCAGCCCCGCCTCCTCCCCCAGGCGTGCCGCATTCCCCCCACGCCCATTGCTTCCTGCGGGCCCCCCGTGACCTCCTGTCCTAACTCACCTCCACTCCGCCTGCTCCCTGGGGCGTGCCGCCGCTCCGTTTCTCCCCCCTCCCTCTCAGGCGAGGGAAGGCAGAGAAGTGGAGCAGCGCCGCGTTCAGGGGAGCAGGCGGAGCGGAGGTGAGCTAGGGTGGGGAGGCGCAGGAAGTAACGGGGGGTAGAGGAACCACTCCCTGCTCCAGCTCACCTCCGCCGCCTCCCCCGAGCACCCCGCCACTCGGCTTCTCCTCCCTCCCAGCCTTGCTGCACGAAACAGCTGTTTCACACATGGCAAGCCTGGGAAGGAGGGGGGAGAAGCGGAGCAGCGGCGGTACGCTCAGAGGAGCAGGCGGAGCGGAGGCGAGCTGGGGCGGCGAGCTGGGCCGGCGTGGGCACTTTTTCCCCATGACCCGGAGTTGGAGCCTATGATGGCCGGCACCAGAATGCCGCCCCTAGAAATGTGCCGCCCCAAGAACCTGCTTGTTTTGCTGGTGCCTGGAGCCGGCCCTGGTCTTAACGAGACGCGAAATATCGATCCTGGATAAATCGATTGCTACCGATACGGCGGGTAGTGAAAACGTACCCCAAGGGCAAGTCTACACTACAAAATTAAGTAGACCAAAGTTACATTGACGTAAGTCATCGCAGTAATTAAATCACTATTGCATGTTCACACTATGCTCTTTGTGTGGGTGGTGTGCGTCTCCTCACCAGGAGCGCTTGCACTGATTTAACTGCCAGTGTGGGGCATTGTGGGCTGGCTTCTGAAAGGCAGCAACAGTCGATGTAAGCGATGCAGTGTCTACACTGACGCTGCATTGACCTAACTACATCGACTTAGGTGCTACGCCTCTCAGGAAGGTGGCGTTATTAAGTTGGTGTAGTGGGTGAGTTACATCAGTGAGAGCTACATTTTAGTGTAGATGCTTCCAGAGTTAAGTCGACGTCGACGTAACTCTGTAGTGTAGACCAGGGGCCCAAGAATCCCAAAGCAAAACAATGGCGCAATCATAATCCTGTAACTGTCAATGGAAAAGTAGCATGTAGACACTAGCTTACCCCACGAAGAACAGCAAAGCAAATCATTGGGGTACATCTCTGATGTAATTCCAATTAAGTACATTTCACCAGGAATTAATTTGGTTTATATATTTAGATTTATAAAATGACAAAAGACATACATCTGAACACTCTGGACTTGTCTACATTACCCGCTGGACCGACGGGCAGCGATCGATCCAGCTGGGATCGATTTATCACATCTAGTCTAGACGTGATAAATCAATCGCCAAGCGCTCTCCTGTCAACTCTGGTACCCCGCCAGAACGAGAGGCGCAGGCGGAGTCGACGGGGAAGTGTCAGCAGTCGACTCACTGCAGTGAAGACACTGAGTAGATCTAAGTACGTCGACTTCAGCTACGTTATTCATGTAGTTGAAGTTGCATAACTTAGATCAAGCCCCCCCCGCCCCTCTGTTTCAATACTAAATAAACCAAGCCAGGAAGCATATAAAAATCATCACATTCCCCACTTCCTCTGTATATCGCTCCATCAATACTTGCTGCTTCAGCAACACTCCTGAAAAGATGTGCCTTGCAGTAGGTTTGAATTACTTTGAACTAAAGGGGTATAGTGCCAGCATAACATTTAGACTCTGAGGCCACCCAGGCCAGAAGGGTGCAGATTCTAGCCTGTTGTGGGGAATTATCCCTTGTGTTGAGGATCTAGCCTGTGGAGATCTTAAAGCAAGTCACTCCTGAAGCTGGCTGCCTAGAACTTCATGCTCTTCTAGGGAAAGAACTATTGGATTGTGATCTGATTGGCCTGAGGGTTGGGATCCATATCTGAACCCTTAAGCCCCTTTCTAGAGAGCAGAGTTTGCTGAGTAAGAAGGAGAATGCATTGAAATAACCCCCTATCAGCAGTCCCCTATCTTGCAGTCGGGCTCAAAAAACTCCACTAATCTCAGCTGTAGCAAAGTTTGCCCCCCCCCCTTTTTGGTTATTTTATTGTTAATATTTTAAATAAGATGTATTTTTAAGGAAAATAAAAACAGGGTGGGGCTGCCACCCTTTAGTTTTTGTGGGAAATCAAAAGACAGTGAAAGAGTTTTCAGACTTCTTGTTCATTTAAACAGGTTTAAACAAAGATAGGGACTTAGAGGCCAGAAGAACAAGTAAATCCAATGTGATTTTGATGAACTTTAGGGAATATGAGGCAGCAGGACCCTTTGAAATGAAAACAGCACACAGACTTCCCTACTGCAGACGGCCTTTCACGCATGATTCAAAATGAGCCATTTTAGCCAGGCTCAGGACAAAATTAGCCTGGTGAGAATGTCAATAATTTCCAGAAGTCAGTTTTTTCTGCTTTGGTTATAAATAGATATTGAGTCATAAGCATAAAAGGTGAAGTCTGAAGCATGGGTGTAAGTAGACTTTGTCCCCTGTATGCTGGTGTAGTGGTTCTGGAACAGTGTCACAAGATGCTGGAGAATTCCCATGATTCAGGTACAGTATATGGCATCATAAATAGCCCTATGTAGGCCCCCTAGCAAGCCAGCAAAAATTCAAAAAGGGATTG